CCCTGGAAGTGTTTAAAAGGCTTGTGGATGTGGCACTTGGGGACATGATTTAGTGGTGAACACAGTGGTGCTGAGTTAATGGTTGGACTTGTAGATCTTGGAGGTCTTTTCCAACCTAAATGATTCTATGATTCTATAAGAATTGTTCTAGGAAGATTTCTTCATGGGCAGCAGTCTTGCTGACAAGATTGCCATGTCAGCATGTTTTTCATCAAAACCCCTCACTTCAGGGAATGATGTTTGTATGGGGCTGGTGTCCTTGCTCCCTTAAAATGACTGAGACAAAGGTGGGTCCCACCACAGGGGAAGAGCTGTGTGAGGCTGCCCTTACAGTGTTGCCTTGGCACTGCTGGTGTCTGCTGCAGTCCAGGATTTGGAGAAGCTTTGTCTTGATGTGCTGGAGAGAGGGTGACTGGACCATATTCCCTGGAGGAGGACATATGTATGGGGTCCTCTCACCCCAGACTGGAGTGAGCTGATGGAAATACATTTCTGTCCCTCATGTCTGTCATCTCATCATGGACTCACCTTTTATTACATCATTTTGGTTTCAAGTTCCACTGGCTTGTTGTCCCCCACCGATCTTGCCCAAAATGGGTTCCTTCTCCATTGCTGCTCTTCACCTATCAGACTCACCACTTGGTTCCACAAGGTCAACATGCCTGGATTCCCTTTGGGGGAAAGGGAATGAATGTACAAATGTAATAAAAAATGCTTGCTATTGAGTTTATTTGCTGATTAGGGTAGAACTGTATAATTGTCATAAACTGTATAATCTGGCTAGATCAAGAACCTCATTTAGCTCACTCTTAATAACAGCTATTAATAATAATTATACATTGCAGTAATGCTCACAATTGTTAAGTTATAATAAGCAGTTTGCACATCTATTAACATTTTCTGCCTATGATTCCTTGTTTTATGATCATAGGAATGAGCATGGCATGGGCTTCATAGGAAAGGTTTGGAAGGTAATTTTCAGACCCCCAAAACTTTGCACTTTGACAAAGTAGAGAGAGGAGGAGAAACAGGAAAAAAATATAGATTTGAGGTTGATCTCTATCAATTATTATTAAGGAATGTATCTGGGATCTGGGAATCCTTGGTGGTAGGCGCTATGCCAACATAGATCCAAGGGATCACCGCTCCCTGAAGAGCTCTCAAAAACATGCATTTGGTGAGTTTGGGAAGACATCAACTTCTTTGATGTTCAAACATGGTTTGGGTTTTTCTTTGAAAACCTCTTGTTTGTACATGTTGTAAGGGCGAGGTGAAATGGGAAACCTGCTCCAGGCACAGAGTTTTCTTGATATGGAGGACCAAGAAGAGCAGACTATCCAGCCCACACCACCTTCCCAATGGAGAGGGTAAATTTTGGAAAGGGAGAGAAAGTTTAGCATTAGTGTGGGGAGTAAACTTTTCCATGTGGACTTGAATTGGTCTGGATCTAGGTGGATGCTTTCCTTCCTAAGGTGCCACCTGCCAAGGAAAAAGTGCCATCATTTTTGCTCCATAAGCTGTCCTTCTTGAAGGGCCAGACTGCTTGAACCAGGAACCATCTTGCAGGACCCAGCAAATGGGCCTCTGTAAACCTGTGAATATCTTGGTTTTGTTTTCTCGAGCACATTTTATATACATGCATCTCACACTTGGTAGATTTAGGTAGAGCCCAGAAACCAATAGATAACATCTGAAAAAGCCCTACCATGAAAAAGCTGCTAGAGAATGGTGACCTCTGGGGTGCTCCTATTCCAGCGTGGTGCTGGTTTCCCTGGTTTCATTATGAAATGACATCAGACCGACAGTCCAGGCAGAGAATCTGAGCTTGATAGGGGTCATGGTGGGACGACTGGGGCCCCAGCAAAGACTCGGAGAGTCTGCAGCCCTTCAGCAACCGAAGTAAGAAAGAGGAAGTTCCGGTTACCACTTCGGTTTACATCTTCTGTCTCTGGCAATGGGAGAGACCACTTTTTCAGTGGGTCCAGAGGCCCAGGAACAGCTATGACTTGTGCAAACCCCTCTCCCCCCTGCTTCCCTAGTTGTGAGGGAGAGGCGGCCCCCCTCCTTTCAGATGATGTAATGGTATGAATATTCATCGCTAAAGTTCCTTCCCCAGTTGTACTTAAACTATAACAACCACCAAACCATATCCCCAAGTTCCATCTCATGGAATTGCAAAACCATTCAGGTTGGAGAAGACTTCAGTTCTCTAGTCCAACCGCTTGCTCAAAGCAGGGTCAGCCTCAAGTTCAGACATTACCTTGCCGCTGTAGGGATCAGGCACACGTGGTCCTAACCATGAACCCCGATACAGGAAGGGAGCATGGTCAGAAGGGGAATTCAAAGGACAAATTCAGAAAACCCAGAGCTGGTTGCTACCAGGGAGTGCCCAGAGATGCCACAAAGTCAAAATGTTCCTCTGCTTGCTGAACCTCTCTATTGACATACTGGGTTGAGTGACGGTGGCATTTTGGCAGTGGTCCCAGAACAGTTGGCACTCTGGGATGTCCATGTCAGGTGGCCAGTTTCTGTGTCATCATGTGATTCACACCAACTTGGTGCAGACTAAGCATATAAAGATGATTACAGGCTGTGACTTGCTAGTCTTTTACCTTATTATAAGGATTAGATGTCAACCAACTCGTCCATGCCTGGACATCTACTCCAGGGATCTCTGTGTACCATGATGATCCTATCTCAGGTGTACGTAGTTGTAGCAGGCCAAGCATGGGAACAAGAAAAGAAGAAAATCAGAAAAGCCTGGGAAATGTCTAAGATGACCTTGTGTTGTTTTCTCTGTGATTTACTGCCCAGAAATGAGCTCAGCTATTCTGTTTGCATTCTTGCCATATATGGGTGTAAGGAGTTACTTGGAGCTCCAGGTTTTGTGTGTGTGGTGTGTCTGTATGTGATAGGCCAGCCTTCGAGAGTGATGGATGTGATGTTTGCAGCTGTGCTGTCTTGGTTTGCTTAACCACTCCCAGCTAAAAGTGAATAATCATGGAAGAATAAAGCTGATTTCTGCCCATCAAGTCAGGAGTCCGTGTAATATTTCATTCTGTCTATATGTAGTAACTCGTGACCCTTAAACGTAGAGGATTTTTCTCCCTGCTAAGTTCTGGTTTCCTTTAGAGAGAGGTGAAACTGCAAGATGACTTGGTTTTAGAGTTTACTGGAGATCCATAAATATCTCAATTATATGGTTCGTGCTCATTTGCTGGACCTGGTGACTTCTGACAAACCCATTCCTTCAGTCCACCATCTCTCATGTTGCTAATCAGCAAAATGCTGTTTAGCACAATGGTGAGCATCCCAAAAGTAGAGTAATGTGTCAGCCCTTGCTCTGCTTTATGCTTTGTCACGGATGTTCAAGGGGGAGCATCCCCAGGACAATGCCCTGGGCTTGATATTTCTTCAGTGCCACCCTAAAAAAAAAGACAAAATAGGCAAAAAAAAAATTGGGGTTTGTGTTGTGTAGCCCCAGGTGATGGAGGATATCCTCTGTTTCTGCTCGCTCCTTCCCAAGTGATGCCACCTGTATCAGCTGTTCCCTAACTCATGTGGTCACCTCCCCATGTCATCGTGCCCTCCAGGACTCCTTGTAGCCTCCTATTCTCCCAACTCTTTATTTAGCATTCTGTTTAATAATTTGTCCTTTCCATTTGGTAATTGTCACTAATTAGCTAAAAGGGGAGAAGCATACCCTCCTCCAGGGCTCCATGCTCTCTGTGGCTCCTCTTTTTGTCTTTCTTTTTCTTTCTCCTTTTTAATATACCACATGATTGTTGTTCACAAGCTAATGTGTGATATTGACCTACATAATGAACCTTTTTGAGGAGATGAAATCCTTTAGGCCAGAACTGCTCATTCTCGTCACTTTCCAAATGAATTGTTTGGAAGTGAGAGTTGAGAAATAGTTGAGGAGCTGGGAATATTACACAATCTGGGAAAAAATTTTTTTTCCCTTCCCTTATGGATGGCATGTGACTGACTCCAAATTTTCTTGGTAATTTTATACTTGTCTCAAAACATACTGTAAATACCAGTTCCTGGTGAAGAAGAGGGCAGTGTGGTGGGGGCTCCCATGTCTTCCACCTTCCAACCACAGGGAAGGAAGGAATATGAGTCTTAGCGCAAGACACTGGTCCAAAGCTTAGTTCTTTGCAATCATTGAATCATAGAATATACTGAGTTGGAAGAAATCCTCAAGGATGATCGAGTCCAACTCCTGGTCCTGCACAGGACAATCCCAAGAATCACACCATGTGCCTAAGAGCATTGTTCAAACACTTCTTGAACTCTGGTAGGCTTGGTGCTGTGACCACTTCCCTGGGGAGCCTGTTCCAGTGCCCAACCACCATTTGGGTGAAGAATCTTAATATCCAATCTAAACCTCCCATGACAGAGCTTCATGCCATTCCTTTGTATCCTATTGCTAGTTACCAGAGAGATCAGTGCCATGCCTAACCCAGGTTCAGCAGCTGATGGTTCCTTTTCTTTAAGGTGTGATTGTCATTGAGACATGGAGAAAGAAGAAAAGCATCATAAAGTCTGTACATCTTCTATAGAGCCATTATCCTGAAGAGAGAGAGGTTTTAAAATTAGATTCTAGTGTGATCTCTGTTTCACCTCCATGTGCAAATCTCCTCTTTCAACCATTTACAGTCACACCATTGACTCAGCACCATTTACTGCTGCTGTCCTAGAGAAGCTTTTCAATTATCATCCTCTTCCTCACACCCTTGTCCATTATCCCCATCTTCTCACTCTTATCCAGCACAGCTAATGTCATGGGTTTTTTAAATTAAGCTTTTTAATTTTTTCTTGTCGCGACGAGGGAAGAGAGGGACGCTCAATATGAGAATCAGCAAACTTCGTTTATTGATCACTGCTAACAGCTTAATATACGCTTTATAATTAGCTCATACATATTGCAAAAGCTAACCTCATTATTGGTTCTTGCTTAAATGTTGATTTCACTTTTACTCCCTTCTTTTGTTGACACAGGTGGCTCTTAGTTGCTTTTGTTTTGCTAATCACAACGTCCTGTTTACCAACCAACTAGCAGGCACAAAAACACTGTAGCCTTGCCATGGCCTTGCTATCTCAGATCTTCTCACGGGCCTAGACAGGCCGTGTTCTATACTCTAACAGCTCATCCATAGCTTTAGCTATATTCATATGTCCCTGTCTTGCTAGCCAACCCTATACAATACCCCCGTTTTTATTTGAGGCCAACAATACTTTCTCTGTCATAGCACTTACACGTTTAACAATACAAAAAAAAGCAATACAAGCTATTACTAAAATTACAACAATTGTCAACAACCATCATAGGTCTTCTTTAACAAAACTTAAAACCTATTCAGACATAGAACCAAAAATAGATTGAAGGAACGAGTCTATAGGACTAGTTGCTACTGTGTCACCACAAATAAGAAACACACCTGATGGAAAAGCGCGTGCAGTGTTGTTAACCCAAATGCCTGGAGAGGAAGGCCTTACTTCAGCTCCATATGCTCCAAGGCCTTGGTTGTTACTATTATTAGTACCACAATAGTCTCCTGTATTTTTGTAATTAAACCCTAGGGTCTGTGAAGTGACATTAGTCCACCTGGACAAGTCGTGGCTTTGATAAACACTTAACCCAGATTGAAATAATCCCAACATAAAACAGGTTTGAGTCCCATTATCACTTGTGTCACGTACAGACAGTGATCCCATTAAATCTAACTCTTGGGGATCCTAGGGCAAAGAGGTGTTGAGAACCTTTATAAGGCAGGCAGATGCATTAGAAATAACTGTCTCACTCCCACACGACGACAAAACCCAACCAGTAAACACTAAGTTCAACTTGTATACTGAACTAAAAGGCATGCCAAATAAACAAGTGCGAAAAGGATCTGAGGCAGATGCTAAAGACAAACAAAAGGACGATTGACCTGTTATAGTTATTGGAGGGGATCTTTTTACCAGAGTAAGACCACCCACTCCTGCAACTGTTGCTCTTGAAAATTGTCAGAATGTTTGAGCAGGTCAAATAGAGGTGCCAACTGGGTGTTTGGTAATTGCAAGTACGATGCAATCTAATTCAAAGACTTTAATAGCTACTGTATGTCAGTAAGAGTTTTAACATTAATACCCAATTGAACTGGTTGAGGAATGACTGCTTTCTGTGTACGTGAACCCTAAATATTTCCAGGGTATTTTTCACTGCACCGTGTCAGGAGCAACTACTAGGCCAAAGAATTGTAGACTCTTTCTGGTTTCAGCGTCCAACACACCCAGCTGATCCTCAGTGGCTACAGCCAGCAGAAATATCATCTATATAATGACAACAAAAGACAGTCAGAAAATTGCATTAGTACAGGGAATAATGTTGGAAACATAAACCACTGACAAATTGTAGAAAAGTCTTTCATTCCATGGGAGAGGGTTTTCTATGGATAACACTCATAAGGTTCTGCACGAATAATAGATGGAACTGAAAATGCAAATTTTTTCTCTATCACTGGGATCTAACTGGATTGTGAAAAGATAACGTGTCAAATCAATAATATCAATGGGTTATTCAGCAGAAAGCACAGAAGGGGTCAGTAAGCCAGTGCTTACTAACCATGACTGCACCAACCCGTCTGAGATCATGCAACGGTTTTCATTTCACAGATTTTTTTTTTAACACAAACACAGGGGTAATTAAAGGATTCTGAGATGGTTCAATGTAATCAGCATCACAACCCTAACCCTTGGAATGACTACAGAATGACTACAGAAGTTTGTTTGTTTGGACAATTAACAGCAAGCTTTGAGCATCACAAAGAGTACAGGTTGCCTTCATACAACCCTAAACATTCACTAGTCAAATTATGCAAGCAATAGGTCTGGTATGAAACAAGTAGTAGTCACAAGTAGTGAGGCTATTTTGCTGAGAACACAGCTGCAATGGGTAGGGCACGTTTTAAGGAGGAGAGACTAGCCGTTTTACAATGAACATTGCTACCAGTTGTTGCACGGGAGGGGTTTGAAGACAATATATAAGGACTCTTTAAAACAGCACTTCAGCTCTGGTCACACTGATCAATGTAACTGGTCTGCTCTGGCCTCCAGCCAGGAGGCCTGAAGACACACTATCCACAACACTGCAGATGTTTTTGAGAAGGCACGCAGGATGGCCTTGACAGTCTGCAAGGGGCCCCCCTGCAACGAGCTGAACAAGCAAGGCAGCAACATCGACAACTCCTGATTTAAATCCTGGAAAACACAGAAAAACTCAAAACGACCTTCACTACTGCCATAGCAGATGGAAATGCAATTATTTGATGGTCTAAGGACCCCACCCCGGCACAAGCCTGCATTATCTCCACCTAGTTATGTAACTAGCAGCTTCTGTAACTGTCACAAAACTTGTTTCTCTACAGCATCTTGCAACTTTTCCACAAATTGTAAGAATGGTTCCCGGGCACCTGGATGCATAGTGGTGCACCTTGTTCCGGGCTCTGCTAACCTTGCAGTCTGCACTAATGTTTGCTGGCTTATGATTTTTGCTTGCTCTAAAACTAGTGGTCTCCTGCGCAGCTCGCACAGCTAAGGAACAACAGCAGTAGAAAAACTCCACCTGAGACTTGACTTGCATAAATTTCATACAAGGCTGTAATAGAATACCAAATTTTTGTAAGAATCTCTTATTTAACTTCAGTCTTAACACCTTGTTAAAATCTCGACACCGACGGAAAGTATTTTTAAGTTTACACAGTTACACATTCATGTAGCTTTTCTCTTTCACACAATCTTTTTCCATACACTCTTAGGTGGACACCTCAGACATCCATCATTCACACACACATTTTCAAGTAGTCATTGGTTGTGCGCTTGTTATCAGTTTCATAATTCAAAGGAAATTTATGGCATAGCCGCCAACAGCAATCCGCAAATTCTGCATAAAGGCAATAAAACTACTTCTGCAGGGGGCAGAACTATATCCCCTTTTGTCTCATCATTCCATCTGCAAACCTTCTACTTGCACCCTGCCCCTGGGGGAAACAGCCAAATTTCATGTAAGAGAAGCAAAATGGCAAACTATAGGAAATTCCTAACAACTTTCTGCAATATATAAAAAGCTAAGCACGGATGTTGCGTTATTTCTAATCTTACTTCAAGGGATTTTTCGTCAGTCTCCCTTTCTTCTTTTGAAGAAAACGTTTCAGAATGCTATGAACACGCTGCATGCGTAACACCTATTGCTGTAAAAACAGTGCAATCTTATTTGATTTATAAATTGGGGTATTGTTAATTTTTTGGTTTTTCCCTTTTCCCTTTTTACCGTGTTTTACCGTCTTTGCCCCCCCACGCCCCTTATTGCCAAAGGACGAAGGAGGAGGAGGAGGAGGGGCCAGGCTCACCCAGAGAAAATCAGCAGAAGGAACTCAACTTAATCACAGGGTCTGCTTAAGAAAAGACAAAAACATAGGAGAGGGAGAAAACAGCTGCAAACAGGCACGTTTCAGAGAGGGGGTGATTGGTGTAACGAGGAAAAAAGAGAAACAGCTTCCCCCCCTCCTCCGACTGCACCTCCCGAAGCTTTTACTACCGTCATTAACTCGCCACTCTAAGAAGAGGAGCTGCACCAGGGAAAAAACATTCTCTGTAAAGAAGGGGAGGGGAACCTACACCTCTTGGGACCATGGCTGTCAACAGTGCGGGGAAAACAGAGCCCCCCCGCCGCCCGCCCCGCCCGGGGCCGCCAGCGTGCACGCGCGCGGGCGCACTACTCCGAACTGGGGCTGCACACGGCGCCGCGACCACCCCCAATGCCCCCCCGCCCGGCACCGCCCCGTGGTCACTCAGCACGGCGGCGCAAGCACCCAGTGCCGTGAACACAGGCACAAATGTGCGGCGCAGTCCCGCAGCACAGTTCAGATGAAAAGCTGGAAATATCTTAAGGTGGAACTCAGTCATAGTGTTCGTAAAGTTCATCCCCGGTCCATCAGCAGTACTTTCACGCCGCAGCCGTCATCCCCGATCGTCCTGGATATGCACTGCCGAGACGCTAGCACCGCGTTCATTTTGCCGGGGCCGCTCGGTTGTCCCCGGCCCCGCTCCGTGATCTCTTGTCCCACTCCGACTCCCCTCCGCTCTGCTCGACTCCCTTTTTGCACGATTTCTCTGTATGATGGCATCTAGTAGCATTCTAATGTCCTCAAACTGTGCTTTAATGTCTTTTACTGTTCCAGATAACAATCGCCAAGTTGTAAGGAGGGAAGCAGCAACTTTTTCTCCCTTAGAGTCAGCAGTAAAGAGCTTATCACTAAGTTCTTTCCAAGTAGAGATAGTAAAGGCAGTTACAGCGTTCGCTTCAAATCCCTGGCCCTTACACGAAAGCAGCATCTGTCGCAAAGCCAGTTCGTCTAATTTTTCTCTTTTTTAAGCAGGATAGACTTCCATATAGACGCGACATTGGATCCCTCTTTTGCTAAGAGTTGTCACCTTCATCAAAAACTGTATTAGGGTCCACAAAACAACCTTTAGCAACCCCTGCCGCAAGCAATCCTGGTAATTCTTTTTTCAATTCTATACCCTTAAGTCTCCGCTTTTCTAAAAAGCACTGGGGTGATAAAAGCACCGCTTGTCTTTCCATACCTATAAATCTTCAGCGCGCTTTTGCAGCCCTTTGAAGACGTCGGCGGTGTTGTCGGCCGAGACCCTCCTATGAGGTCGCTCGGGGCACGGAGTCCAGCTCTTTTGCCTCTTGTGCTGCTGCAAGACCGACCGGCTACTGCGTCAGACCGTGGCTTCGGGGAGTGCAGATTTAACTTAGCCTCTGTTCAGGTCTCGGGGACCGCAGATTCAACTTAGTCCCTCGGACCGCAGATATAACTTAGCCCCCGTGCAAGCTTCGGGGACCGCAGGAACCGTGCACAACTCAGCAGGATCCTTGTGTATCGTCCTGTGCTTTGGGCGCCATTATGTCGCGACGAGGGAAGAGAGGGACGCTCAATATGAGAATCAGCAAACTTCGTTTATTGATCACTGCTAACAGCTTAATATACGCTTTATAATTAACTCATACATATTGCAAAAGCTAACCTCATTATTGGTTCTTGCTTAAATGTTGATTTCACTTTTACTCCCTTCTTTTGTTGACACAGGTGGCTCTTAGTTGCTTTTGTTTTGCTAATCACAATGTCCTGTTTACCAGCCAACTAGCAGGCACAAAAACACTGTAGCCTTGCCATGGCCTTGCTATCTCAGATCTTCTCACGGGCCTAGACAGGCGGTGTTGTATACTCTAACAGCTCATCCATAGCTTTAGCTATATTCATATGTCCCTGTCTTGCTAGCCAACCCTCTACATTTTCTCTTGTGCATGTGTCTGGAGGTGTTCAGTAGTTTAGGTTTTAAGGAGGACAGGGAAACTGTCTGTTGTCCTTAGATGTAGGAATATTACAGAAATGGGACTTTTTTTTGCACTCATGAAAACTCTAAATGTGATCACCTAGCATTATTATAAATGTTACTGGAAATGCAGATGTACAGCAAAAAGCATCCTGTACATGGAAACTGATAAGCTTTGGCTACTGTTTTTTTAACCTTTTTATAATTACTGGGAAATAATTTCTTGCCCTTTTTTATTTTGCTTTCTCAGGCCCTCTCTGTTCTCAGCATCTCTCCTGAAGGGATGGAGAACTCATCAGTGGCATCAGCCTCCTTAGAGGCAGGGAGCAGCCGCTCTCAGGAGATTGAGGAGCTGGAGCGTTTCATTGACAGCTATGTCCTGGAGTACCAGGTTCAGGGGCTGCTGATGGATAAAGTGGAGGGGGATGGCGAGAGCGAGAAGACACAGTCCCATGTCTTGCAGGTAGGTGGGCAAAGGGCACATTGTGGGGTGGGAGAGGGGCTGGGGGATGCTGATGGCTTACAGACTGGATTGGGGATGCACTTCCAGTTGAAGCAGCTTTTCTAGGGTTGGGATGTGAAGCAAGATGTAATAAAACACTGGATTTGGAGAAACTTGCTTGTACAGCTATATATATGAGGTCTCTAACCAGCTAGTAGAGCTCTCCTGCCAACTGGGTTTTGGTTTTTTATGGTCTCAAGGTGCATCATTGGAAGTGTTCAAGGCCAGGTTGGATGGGGCTTTGAGCAACCTGGTTTAGTGAAAGGTGTTCCTGGCCAAGGCAAGGGGGTTGGAACTAGATCATCTTTGAAGGTCCCTTCCAACCAAAACCATTCTAGGATTCTGTTGTTGTCGGGACAGACACCACACTGGGATTTCACACAGAAAGACTTTTATTTCATACAAACGTTGTTAATTTATACTTTCCCCTAGCCAGCGTGTTTCACCACCATTGGTGCCCTTACTACATAAACATGCCAAGATTGGCTGCTCTATAGCTTCTGCAACTCATGGTGACTCAGCAGACAGTTTAGGATGTCTGGCTGCCTCTGTGGTTCAGTAGTTCCGTCTTCTTTATCTTCTTCTCACTTCAGTGTTTACATTCCTTTACAACCTAGTAACTGCAACTGCTAAAACTCAAGGCCCAAGCTGTCCACAGCCCAGTCGCCTCCCATAGGATTCTGTGATTCTATGAATACATAAAGTCCTTCAGGAGATAAGTACTTCACTGATTGATCCAAGTTAAACCAAATCTTCGCACAAGAAGAGCATCCTGCAGACTCAACTGTCCTATACGTTTCATGCAACCATGAAGTTCCTACAGTCGCTACAGTTCACTGTCTTAAAGGATGTATTAAGAAGGAATTATCTCTCGTTTCCCAAAGGTATTTTTTTCCCACCTCATATCCCAAATTTGTATAAGAAACAAGCAGGAATTTTAATTTCTGATTTTTTCCTCCTGATCACTTCTTAGCAAAGCAAGGAATAAACACTTGCATATCCTGAAGTTTGCTGGAGTAACCCTGGTAGAAGTCAGCCTGATTGAAGGTGGCATGTTCCCTCTTAACGAGAGCCAGAGGAGAAAGAATGGGTTTAGGGGGAAGGCACTGGACTGAGACCAAGAAAATTGTTTTTAACTGTGAGGTTCTGCTGACAACTTAATCTTTAATGTTTGGCAAGTTACTTAATCTCTCTGCAGTTCATTTCCTTGTGGCTGTAATAATGTTTTTCCTGCCTGAGAGAGGATAAATCCACTCACCCATGTGTGTGAGATGTGCAGATGGTACCACATCCCTGGATAACTGCTCTCCATGCTGGGGGAAGGAAGGAAAGGCTCATTTTATACTGCTTCATCCTCCACACCACTCACAGAGGGGCTGAATTCATCACTAGTCTAGAGAATTTCAAAGTGTGGATGTTCCCATGGTGGGGATGTCTCCAACCTTGCTTCCACCAGGAAAAAGAGGAAAGTCAGAGGAAAAATGCAATTTTCTTTTGGCTGTAGACATAATAATAGTTGAGCTGTACCTTGGGAGACCTTCCCAGGCACATGGTTGCACTCAAAATTGTTAAAGGAGATAGGCACAGGTCTAGCAAAAGGCTTTCAAGCATGATAGCATCATGAGCTTCTCCAGGTAGGTCAGCAGAGGTGGCAGGAGAGTGATGAGCAGCTCTTTAATGAGAGGCAGCTGAGGTCCCCCATCTATGAGCTAAAACGAGCTCTCCAATGAGGGCAGAGCTGTGTAGGAATCATGGGCAGTTCTATTGGTGGCTCTTCCTCTTATTTTGTGGCCTCATCCATACCTGTCAAGGAGCTCTCAAGGTGGTTGCTGATTGTATGGAATTGACTTTTCATTTTCTAGATGCATCGGCCTTGGTGATGGCATCCAAGCAGTGAGTCTCTCTGGAGCAACCAAACACTTCCAGGATGAAAGACCTTGGAAATGGGGCTGGTCACCAAGGTTCAGTCTCAACTTTGTTGGCAGGGTTGACAAAATGACTTTAGGATTAAGCATCATCTTTCATATTTGTCTACTGAAAATATTATTTTTTTTTCCCAGTATGATGCAGCCCTTCATCTCTTTGAGGGAAAAAAACACCCCAAAACCAAATTACCCCAGACTGAATTATTTTGGTTGGACGCACCTTGGGGGAAGCTGTCCTAAGCAGCTTATGATCCCCTATGGCCAGGAAGTCCCCTGACGCCCATGTCCTTCACCATGGAGTAAAGACGGTATGAGAGTAGTGCTACCATCCAGGTGGCACATCACAGTTGCTGCATACAGCAGTGGACAAACCTGCAGCTTTGAGCTCCATTTTCTGTTTTGTTTAAAATAAAAACAGGTTTTTTGGCAGCTCAGGGCTCATATCTGTCCCTGAAGTGAATGGAGTTGGAAAAAGCAGAAATTTCCCAACTTTTCATGGAAGACTCCATAAAAAAGAGTAATCTAGTCAAGGCACCTTGGTGCATACCATATGCCTGAGATACCAAACACTGATGGAGTCTTCAAGGAAATACTGGGGATGGATTTTATTGCAAAGCATCGTTTTAGGTGCCTTCCTGCAATTGTTTCTGCATCTTCCCTCTGCTTGCTGTCAGCAGGTGGAGAGTTTCCAAGCCAAAACCTTTTGGATCATCCTCAAAAATGAGGGAGTGCTGCACACATACTGTGATGCCCTCAGCTGGATGGTGTTTGCTGTGCACTGTGGACTGACACAGCAGCTTTCCCCAGCCTGACTATTACTTTACACAATCCCTTTTTTATCCCTATTACAGTGGACAGCGGATTGTGACAAGCAGCTTGTTGGCAGCTGTTCCCCATCCCAAGGGAAGGGCTTGTTGTCTCATGAACACAGTCAAGTAGGGGTTGTGTTTAGCTCTTCCTCACCAAACCTTTGCTTTTTTTCTTGTACTGCCTCATCCATCAGTGTGGATCCTGCCTGTGCTGCCAACTTTCCCTCTTCCGTAAAAGGGGAGACGTCCCTCTGCTTGGCATCTGAAAGCTCATTCCCACTGAAACCATAGGAGATGGGCAACATCCCATTGTGAGGATGGATGCTTTGATCAGGAGCTTATTGCTCTGTGATAACGGGGAAAAAAATATGGAGTGTCCCATTTTATGCTGAAGAGCTTCTTGTTGTCACTTGTGCAAGCAACCTATTTGGAGCATCAAAGATGACTTGGAAGTATGAGACAACTGGGATGAGGGTTCTTTGTGTAGCTGGGCTTCTTGGTTATGTGCTGCAACCCAAGGATGGTGGTGTAGGGAAGAGGATTCAATAGCTGAGAGAGTGAATTGGGAGAAGCAAAATTGCACATGCTGAGAGCCTGTGCTAGGTATGCAATGACAGAAGCCAGGTATGCGTTGGTTTGGGTGGTTGTACATGGTGTGAACATCAGTGAACAATATTTACCAAACGCTGTTGGAGGTGGATTGTAGGAGGCATGTCCAGGGGTGCAGGGGAGGTACCCAGGGCAGGGAAGCCCAGGGGACATGCGCCGGAATCGATAACCTCATTGGTCACAAGGTCACATGGTTTTAAGGGATAAAAAGAGCACCGAGTTTGAAATAAACTCTCTCTGATCACCACCTGAGGTGGGAGCAGACTCCATTTCTTTATTATATAAAGACTCAACGCTACATGTGGTGCCCTAACACAGGGACTTAGAACCTACATTAGGCTAGAATAGAACTACCTGAATCAGGGGAATATCGGTAAATTCCGGTTATCGTAGTCATTTTAGAATACGGGAATTTTTCACCGAAAAAAACTTAGATGTCTTTAATCCGTTGTCTCAGCTGGTACTGAGAAATGCAAGTTAGTATAGAGAGCTCAAAAAATATTAGGGAAAGTGCACAGGAACAGAGAAGAAGAAAAAAGAAAAAAAGAAGAAGAAGCCGATAAACTGGGACAGCAGCTGCGGAGAAAGCAGAGTGGGGTCAACCAACCATCTGAGCGGTGAGTGGAACTGAAAAGCAGCCTCAGCAACCAACAGGGCTGCTCAGGGCTACTCCCTGAGTGGCTGCGAGCCCGCAGCTCAAAAACTCGAGTGGCAGAGCATGCAGAACCCGCCGGGAGCCCCTGCCGCCGCTGCTGCTACCTGAACACCCTCAACCCACCTGCGAGACCCCGTGAACCCCGCACCAGCACACTTTTCTGCCAAGTGGAGAAAAACCACAGCTCCGTGCAGCCTGCTGCCCGCCCGCATTCGCCTGCTGCCGCTGCAAGCCCCACGCCCATGCTAGAAGCCACGTGGGACCCGTGCACCGCGAAAGGCCGTCACTGCGCCCAAGGCCCCGCCCTGACCAGCGGACCGTGGGAGCCTGCAACTGCCTTCTGCCAGCTCGTGCATGCCTGCAGCATCTGCGCCGCTGAACCAGCTGTCAGAAGTGCCGCAGACCGTAAGGGAACCTCACGTGCCGCTGCCGTCGCTGGACCTACCACGCCGGGAGATTCCCCCCATCTGCCGCTGCCCTCAAACCACCAGAGCAGCAGCTGCAGAGACCGACAGAGACGCCGAAAAGAAAAAAAGCAGCGAGAGAACAACTGATTCAGAAACCAAAAGTAAAACTCAGCAGCCACTAAACAAAGGACCTCACCGCACACATGCACCAACAGTGGCAAGAGTAAGGTAAAAAAACATGGGAAACTTTTTCTCTACTGAGATTTCACAAGACACACATTGTCTATCCTGCTAAGACCTTACCACATACAAGCCACAAGGACTGAATTAGCAGAGCTTGTACTTGCCCGAACTGCCATGTGTAGAAGCTCTGCACATAGAAATATGGGACAAGATTGGAAACCTCAGGAAACTGAAAGGTCAAGGAGGAGACCCCCAAGCTAATAACGCCATTTCAGCCTGGCAAATCTTGATGTCTGCATTACACAGAGCCCACGAGCGGACAGTACAAGCATCCCACACCAACACACCACCCTCCACCCACACTGCTAGTCGCAACCCGAATCCTACATGTAGAAACACAAATGTACAGGGTTTACCGGGAGGGGAGGGAAACACTCGCGAGTTAAGTTACGGGTCGGGTGCCAGTAGCCAAGGCAGCACGGGTGGCCGGGAGGGAACGGAGCCTGTAATGCGAGATCCCAACCCATGGGATCAGCGCAGGGGGCTCCGTTGCAGTGATGAGGGGGGTAACCCAGCCTATTTACCACCTCGCGCTGTAGATGATCAGCTACCATGTACCGTCTCTTCCAGTCCCAGCTACTGGCATGGGGGGGGTGGGTGAAGGGCCCCTCCCCTGCGTCACGTCCGTCACCCACCACCACCCCCCCACGGGGAACGGGGTTTGCTGGGACCACGGGGGAAAGACATGGGGGGATGAGGAGGAGGGACCAGAGATGGGTCCACTGGGACGGAGCCAGGAGGCAAACGGGGGAAGGTTGGTTGACAGGTGGGAACTGTGTCGGGAGGAGGCATTTCGAGTGGGAGACTTGCAAGTTATAGAAGCGTGCCCAGTTGTTTTCTGCCAGTGTCAGCCCCCTCAATTCCAACCTCTGCCATATGAGCTGACAAAGGAATTGAGGCAATTGGTAAGGGAGACTGGCGTGTCCTCAGCTAATGCCCTTACGTATTTAGAGACACTGAGTTCCACCTATGATTTTACACCACACAATTGGAAGACCTTACTGAAAGTAACTCTTACGAATACTCAGTACAGCGTCTGGTTAACCGATTTTTGGGAGAATTGCTCTGTGTATGCTAACAACCCACAAGCAGGCATAACAACACACCAACTAACTTGGGAGGGGAACTACAACTCAATAGATGCTCAGTCTGGTTACCCCAGAGAAATATATGAAGCGATAGCCAAACATGCCCTGAGAACCATGAGGAAATTGCCCACTTCAGACTGGAATAGCAACCTGTCATTCACAAAAGTATTACAAGGTTCTACTGAACCATGCTCTCAATTCCTGGATCAGCTGCAATCTGTTTTAAATAGGCAGGTTGAGCATGACGAAGCCAGAGAGATGCTCTACAGGCAACTGGCTTTTGAGAACGCGAACCCAGACTGTAAAAGAGCTTTGCAGGCCCTTCCTAAAATGGAGAGCTGTAGCATTGCTGAGCTGGTTCGCGCCTGCCAAGGGGTTGGCTCCGTGGGACATCAGTCTGCCTCTCTAGCCACAACACTGAGTGCCCAGCTAAGAGTGCAGGAAGGAGCCAGACCCAAAAGTGGTTACTGTATACATGGTGCCCCTGATCACTTTCAAAAAGATTGCCCAAAGAGACCCTCTGCAGCAGCGTTCCGCAAGTACCCAAAAGGGGGGAGGGGGCCAAAAAACTGGAATCAAGGGGCATTGTCGAGCGCCCCGATACAACAAATAAATGCGACTCCAGGGAACAGGCTTGCGATTTGTGCCCCTCCACCTCAACCAGCACTGGGTTGGATTTATCCAACCGAGAACCAGTCATAACTTCCACAGATGTAGTACTAATCCCAACCGGGCTTTGGGGTCCCTTTAGCCCAGGGGTGCATGCACTACTAATTGGGAGATCTTCCACCTCCAAAATGGGTTTATTTGTGCTGCTTGGAGTAATAGACTCTGACTCTCATAGTGAAATTCAAATATTGGCCCGGATCCCTTTATCCCCTTGTTTCATCCCTAAGGGACAAAAAATTGCCCAACTAATCCCCTTCTACAGTGCGTCGCCTGCAGGGGAGGGGGAGCAAGGTTCAGAGGCCTTCAGGAGCACAGGCCAGCCACAAATTTACTGGGCAACAGCCATTACAACCACACAGCTGTGCATGACGTGCCAAATTGATGGGCACAGAATTACAGGCCTTGTGGACACGGGATCTGATGTTACCATCATAAAAGACTCTGAATGGCCACTTAACTGGCCCACTGTTTGCCCAGCTGCAACCATTCAAGGAGTGGGAGGCACACAAAGACCCAGACGGAGTGCTCAAATATGCACTGTCTTGGGACCAGAAGGACAATTAGCCAAAATAGCTCCCTTTATTGCTCCCATTCCATGTACACTATGGGGACGGAATGTTCTCGGACAGTTTGGCACAGTAATGCAAATTGCTCCTGCAAGCAACCAGGTTTTTTAATAGGGGCCATTGACCAGCCGTCCCAAGGACCGAATAAACTGGTCTGGAAAAGCGAACAGCCAGTTTGGGTAGATCAATGGCCCATGAAAAAGGAACGGCTAGTACATCTAAGAGAGCTTGCAAGGGAACAGCTTGAAGCAGGTCATATTGTGCCAACAACTAGTCCCTGGAATACTCCTGTGTTTTGCATCCCCAAGAAAAGTGGCAGGTGGAGAATGCTGCAGGACTTACAGGCAGTAAATGCAGTCATAGAGCCTATGGGAGCATTGCAACCTGGACTTCCTTCACCTGCTATGCTTCCAGCAAAGTGACCACTAATGGTAATTGACTTAAAGGACTGCTTTTTTACCATCTTCCTACACCCTGAGGATGCACCAAGGTTTGCTTTTTCCATCCCCGCCTTGAACAATGCACAGCCCATGCAAAGGTATCACTGGGTTGTCCTTCCTCAGGGGATGAAAAATAGTCTGACAATGTCAAACGGTAGTGGCAAACGCTATTCATCCCATAAGAAGGCGTTTTCCCTCAGCCATCATATATCATTATATGGATGACGTATTAATTATCACGGTCACAGAAAGTGAACTGCAAATTGTTGTTACTGCTCTAACTGATGCTGTCCAAGATGCAGGGTTACAGGTTGCTCCAGAGAAAATCCAGAGATTGTAACCCTGGACTTACCTTGGATGGAAAATCACACAGCAGGAAATTTCTCCACAGCCACTGCAGCTTGAGGTAAAAGACAATTTAACTTTACATGAACTGCAAAAACTGCTGG